AATAAATACCTGATAAGTTATAATTTGTAAATATTAAAATTTTTAATCATTTATTTATTTTTTAGTCTAGTTTTTTTAACCATCATTAGAAGAATATGTAGAATTTTATGAACTTTGATGCAATTAATTCAAGTAAATTTATTTATTCCACTAAGATTTTTAGATTTTTTTAAATATATTTTGTCCGTAAAGCATTTTGCATCTGTATTCATCTTTAAAAGTGTCACAGCAACTTTCTGACAGATTTAAAAAGGTTCACTTCCTGTTGGTTTCATGAAGACTTGTGAAGAAATAAGAATAAAACAAAGTTCTGAGAAGAAAAACAAGAACTTTTCGTATATTTTCTGAAACAAATCTTGTTTCTGATGAGTATAAAGACATCAGAAATGTAAAAATGACCTTTGACACAGAATCTGCAGGAGTCAGTTTTAAAACAAGCCTGAGTTTTTCCTGGAACTCGTTTTTTAAAGAAACACCTGAAACTCTTCAAGGACGAATCAGATCACAGGCGGCAGAAATATTTCCTCAAAGTTCAGGAAGCTCTTGTTTCTGCTGAACTCACCTTGTTTTCAGCTCCTGGTTTCCACGACTCAGCAGTTTTACTCCTGAACCTGATCGAGCTCTGACGTCTCGTTTCTTTTCCTCTTTGTGTCGTTTCTTCAGGTCCGCCGGTCAACGTCACCTGCAACATTTTCATCAACAGTTTTGGGTCCATTGCTGAAACAACAATGGTAGGTTCATTAATTATTATTATATTTACCACTGTGGCTTAAAATTATCTGTATTTTTTTGTTTTTCTGTCAACAAAGAAACAAAAACTAGTGTTCGTTCCTTTTTATTTATGTACCAAACTGTAGCATGGGTTTTGCATATTTCCAAAAACTCACTGAATTAGTTGACATTTTTACTGAAACTTTTAAAATATTTACAGAAATATAGAAATACTCTCTGGTATTTCAGTGTAATTTTTGGTGGAAAGTTAYTTGCTGGTGATTTTTCTCCACCGTTCCTCTCAGAACAAAAGTAAACCGTGGTGTCGTCTGCGTAGCTTCAAATTTTTGATAGTTTATTTTTAATATTTTCCACACATTCTGACAAAAAACGCAGCCTCTAATTAACAAATAAAAACACACASAGAGAGAGAGAACATGTTTAAGTTTTGGTCAAATGTTTTTCTTAAACAATTGAAGCTGTTTTTGGTTTGTTTTGACCTTTTTACTAAGGGTACAACGAAACAGAAAATACACGATTCGGTTCGATACTTTAGTCTCGTGGTTTGATATTTTTTTCGATACCAAAAAGAGAAATGTCCATGCCCCTTTTAACTTGTAATTTATTTAAATTAATTGTGAACATTTATTTAAACTGAAAAGTGCAGTTTTTAAATTAAATGTTGCTGAAACAGCAAATTTCTCAGTGGATCTGTGCTCCACAGTGCAGCCTAGGTGGAGTAGTTGAACACAGATCCACTGATCCTTCAACACAGAGCATAAAATAACTGTTAAAAATCTGTATTGTTCCATACATAGTGTGTATTGTTCTATACATAGTGTGTATTGTTCCATACATAGTGTGTATTGTTCCGTACATAGTGTGTATTATTCCATACATAGTGTGTATTGTTCTATACATAGTGTGTATTGTTCCATACATAGTGTGTATTGTTCCATACACAGTGTGTATTGTTCTATATATAGTGTGTATTGTTCCATACATAGTGTGTATTGTTCAATACACAGTGTGTATTGTTCTATATATAGTGTGTATTGTTCAATACACAGTGTGTATTGTTCTATATATAGTGTGTATTGTTCTATAC